GAAGGGAGCGCTCCTCGAGGGCACAGTACAGCAGCCCCAGTGGCCGGTCCTCCAGGTAGGCTGTCTCCTGCACAAGCTGGGCATTCATCACCAGGTCCGGGGCATCTGGCACAGAGGTGATCAGTGGGGATAGAGCAGCTGATCCTCATCCTATAGATGAGGATATCCTGCTCTCTGTGCCAGGAGAAGGGGGGTGCCCCTCCCAGCTATACCCCATGGGCCCCTGGTACTCACGGGCAGTGCAGGTGACCCCTGCTGAGAAGCGTCCCCCGCCGCTGGGGCAGTGGATGGGGCCGTGGCGCTGGCACTGCTGGAGGGCCAGCTCAGTACCAGCACAACGCACCCCGCTCATCACCACCTGAGTGGCATCTGGGCTGCCTGCCCAGTACCATGTCTCCTGGGCAGAGGAGGAACAGAGTGCTCAGACCAGTCCTTGAACCCCTTGCCAGCACCCACTGCCTCCCCTGCCCCAGCAGTGCCACCAGGGCTTGTCTCCTGGGGCTGTCCCATCCCAGAGCCCCAGCCAACCCACGCCCATACCACACATTCCATTTGAACTCTCACAACAAGGGCCCTGGGGCTTACCTGGAGGGCATGGCTGGCAAAGCCCAGTCCCAGCTGCCGGCAGACGACCATGGCCTCGTTCAGCCCCCACTGGGCACCGCACACTGCGCCCCACTGCAGCCGCCCCTGCACCGGCACCAGCACCTCCACCACCCCCTCCTCGGGGCTTCGGCCCCCAGCCAGCCGCACCTGAGGGCAAGGAAGTGCTGAGCTGGAGCATGGGGCAGACCCCCAGCCCTTCTGCCCAGCTCTGTAATTGGGTAGGCAGTCCAACACTTTCAGCTAACAGCTCATTCTGCAACTTCCCAGCAGTGTGCTGCTCTGTGTCCCCCCTGTCCCCAGGGCCAACCTAGGGCTGCTCTGAACATCCACACCAGGCACAGAGCTTAAGGGACAGGGGCTGTGCAATGGGGATGGGGCTTCACAGGCTCTGGGGAGAAGGCAAGAGCTCACCTGGCTCTGAAAGTCCATGCGGGGCATGTGGCAGCGAACAGCAGCGTCAGCCTCATGTTGGCACCCACTCTGCTTGGCATCCTGGAAGCGACACTCGCCCAAGGAGCGCTCCTGGCCGGTGCAGCGCACCTCACTCATGTGGATGGGTCCCAAGCCTGAAGTGGAGGGAGAGTCAGCACGCCCTGCTCTGTGCCTGTCCCAGAGCAGGGAGGACCTACACAGTCCTTCTCCCGGTCTGGGTGTTCCCTACAAGCAAGAAGCTGCCCATAGCAGAAGCAGCCTGGGGAGCCCCATTCCAGTGCAGGTGGGAGCTGGCTGCACATCTCAGGATGCTCCAGCAGCATCCAGTGAACCAGAGGCTTTCCCCACTGTGCCTCTCCATGCCCAGTTAGGTCCCAAGTCCCTGCTGCACCATATGCCTCACCTTGGCCCATCTGGGCACCCACCAGGGCCTGCTTTGCTGTCCCATAGCCCAGCTGCCGGCACACTACACTGGCTGCAGCCAGGTCCCACTGCTTGTCACACACGGTCCCCCACTGCCCGTGGTGCAGCACCTCTACCCGGCCCTCACCGGCGTGGGTGCCAGCTCGCAGCCGTACTGGGAGGATCTGGGCATGGGGAACAGATGGTCAGTGGTCATAGGCACAGCCACCTGCCTGCACCACAGGCATGGGTGCAAATGGGATGGCTGGGTGCTGTCTGGCTCCAAGAGCCTTCATCAGTAGGATGAGGGTGTGGGACCATGCTGGGGCTCACCTTTCCTGAGGAGGTCTTGCTCTTGCCTTTGCTTGTGCCCTTCTGGAAGGCAGGGCTGGGGAGGCAGCTGACAATGGCGTGCATGCCACGGGGACAGGCATGCTGGTGGGGGGCTGGTGGGGCCACCTGTGTGGGGCAGCGGGACAAGTGGGGCTCCGTGCCCCGGCACTGCACCCTGTGGATCCAGAAGCTGTTCTTCTGGCTGAGGGTCTTCAGGCTGCCGG